TTTGTTTTTTTTTCAGAACCTTGGTGGGTTTTCAATGATGCTCGCTTTCATCTGGAAGGCCTGTGGAACTTGATGTCTTGTTTTCCTTTGTATAAAACATCGCTGGGGTAATATTGTCCAGTAGAACGTTTTAGGGACTGTTTAATAGGCTGGGTAGTGACTTGTCCAGGCTGTGCTGACATACTCTCTGGAGGGTATTTCTGCTGCTTGCCTCCTTGCTCACTCAGTGTTTGTGAGAAAGCAGGTTGGTGTTGTGGTACCTGTCTGTGGCCACAGAGCAGAAAAAACTCACTAGCCTGCACAGACAGCGTCAGCACTGATTTCTTTCAGGCATAAACAAGGGCTTTCACATGTAGGACATGTTGGGCGTGATTGGATACTAATTAGTTCAGTACAAGACAAGATTTCTTTCAGAAATCATGGTTGGTGTTCAAATCTAAAAGTGTGTGGTCACAGGAACACAGCCAGCTCCTTAAGGAGTGCTTGGCATTGCCCAAAACTCAATGTGCACACATTTGTATTCCACCACTGCAATAGCACAGGGGAGGCAGGGACAGCACCCGTCATGTGACTTGGAAACTCAGGCTCACATGAGCACGGTTTTGTGAGTGTTACACAGCTGAGGAGGGCAGTGTCAGGGATCCAGGCTTTCCAGCCCAGAGCCATTGTCCCTCCCCATTAGCAGTTTCCTATTAGGGTCATATTGTGCAGAGCCTTAGCTCAGCTGACCGTTCCAGAACCCTCTGTAAGCACAGCCCATGCTCCCTCAGGATAAACAAGGAATTTGGCTCCCAGCAGTGAAGAGTTTAGTGCTAACATGGCTAATTAGTATCCTAGCCCCAGAGGCCCAGGCCAGAGTGCCAGCTTGTGCATAAGACTCAGGCATAGAGTGGCACTTATGCTCTTTGTCCCCAGGAAGCAAGACCTTCAGTCCACATTGACAAGCCATTACCAGAAGTAACAGGCACCCTCTGGGCAGAGAGCCAGATAATGACAGCCCATGAGCAGGGCCTGCAGCGCCAGCCAGAGGGTGTGGGAAGACACACAACCCTTTCGCACTGTTCATTCTCATCACTGGGTGGGTTTTGGTATCTTTTTACTTTGTTTCGCAGACTTTCTCAGATGCTTCTTCAGCCGTCAGAGCCTGTGGCATTGTGGTCTTGACTGGTTCCTTTCTCTGCTGATCCCTTAGCCAGCCTCTCTGAGGCATTGTTTAGATGCTTTTTAGAAAATTGCTTTGTGCATTTCTGTGTTCCTTTTGAAACTGGCTACTTGATTTCCTTTATTCTTCCCTTTCACCTCCTCCTTTTCATTCTTAGAGGTCATCTCTTTAGGGACTCCGAGATGGGCCAGCTTGTGGGGTATAGTGCTGGTGACACTTGCCTTTTCAGTCAGCACCTACTTTTATCAGCACAGCACTGATGATCACAGTGGGCTCTGTGGATAGCATTAGGGACAAACCTAACTGATTTTTAGCTACAGTGTTTTTGCTTATTTATGCTGGGCATCAACCTAAATGTGTTAGTTCATGTCACCATACCCACCCTCTACCATCACCCCAAGGTCACACTGATGGACACCCTTAGTCCAGCTGGAGCCCACTACTGTGGGCAGTCTACATTTACTCTAGTACCTTCCATGTCCTACAACTTAGATTTGGGGTCCCTGATCGTCAGTCTATTGCAAAGCTCAGTTTCTTGTTCAGCCATTGACTCCTAGAGTGGGGCCCATTAAATCATTAGTACCAGACCTGCTTTGTGGTGGCAGTCCTCAGTAAATACTGCATGCATGTTGGACCCAGGGACTAGAAGGTGCTTTGGTGCCTAGTCTAGTGCATCTGCCTGCCTGGTGGAGAGCCATCAAGCCTGCTAGGGGTACAAACTGTTGGGTCTAAGACTCCCATCGTATAATCAGTATTTTGCTTTCACTGTTGATATTTCCTCTCCACTCAAACAAGAGATTGCTGAAGGAGAAGCCAGAGAAAGCGAAGCTCATGCTGAACTCTGCTGCTCCTGTATTCCAGGGTAGAGATGCTGGTGGCAGCAGGATTTACAAAGCTCACTGCTGCGGACCTTATGAATCCCAGCAGGGCGAGGGCGCCATCTGGAGCTAGTGCATGACACTACCATACTTGGAGCTAGAAGCTTGGGTACCTTTTGAGTCTTCATGATTGTCTCTGCCAGCTTCGTGCTTTCATGAGTGCCATAAGCCTCATTTCCCGTGTGTTCTGTTGACGGTTCCAGTTCTGACTGTACTCAGATGGCCAGGTTCACTCTTCTTTTAGTTTTATTAAAATAAAAAGATTGCATATGGGGACAGACGCACACTACCCTACAGGAAAGTAGGCAGTTACCCCCACACCCCAAGGGAGCAGACCTGTCCAGCCAGGGAGGGGTGAGGCAAGGCATGTTGTCACCCTGCCTTTTCAGCTGGCCTCAGCTGCCTGCGGAAGCTTGGCTGAGTGGTGAGAGCCAGGGTGGAACATGAGGTGACCTCTAGGCTTGATTCTCAAGGGGTTGGTTTATTTTCCTGTGATTTGCCAGAGTGGTGGAATCCAGCTGTGACGGTGAGTGAATCAGCCACTACATTTCCTCACCCCCTGGGGTGGCAGACTCTTGTCTGCATTTTTGTAGGGTGGGCAGCTGAGCTGAACCTCACACACACCTGCCTCAGATCTCTCTGAGCCAGGTAATTGAAAACAGACAGTAGTTTGTCCCTGATGCTGCCCCTTGCTTCCCTGCAAATGTAAAGTCTTCCTAAAAACTTCAGTTTTCCTGAGCTGTGCCCTCAAAGTCTATTCAGGATAGTAAGTTTGCTCATTTTAGTCTGTATTCATAAAATGTGACCGCTGGTCTGGAGAGAGGGCTCTGGCTGTTCTCAGAGAGTATCTGAGTTTTTCAAAGGTAATTGTTTTAATTGACTTCTATGAAGTAGGCGCCCTGTAATAGTGCTCTTCTAGGGCTTTGTAACAGTTACTTGTAACAGTTCTTAGAGGGTAATTCTGTGTATTGGCCTTTAAAACCTAGCTCTTTGCCTGCATAGCTCAGGCCAGGCCTGTGACCTTGGCACTCTGAGACCCAGGTGGGGAGGGTTGTTTTGAATTTGATGCCAGACTGGGCTACATAGCAGAACTTTAAAACAAAGAAGCCCCCCTCAGTCCGAACCCCAGGCAGCTCAGCATCTTTTAACATGCCACAGGTTGCCAGCTCATCTTCTCACCACCTTTCCCCCAAGTTGCCTTCCTGAGAGAACTGACTTGAATGTTATAGATCATGGCTTTTCAATAAATAAACAAATAGATTCTTTCTTATACTATGAGCCTTTCACCTGAGTATTTATTCACATCCATACACATGCAGGGGTGTGTGTGTGTGTGTATGTTTGTTTGTTCACCCTATGTAGTAGATGCACTTTTTCCAATAATGTTGACCAGGACAAGGCAGAATGCGTCATCCTCTTGCTCTCTGTGTCACCCACCACCTTCTGACTCAGGATCCTTGCTGAATCAAGAGCTCACAGGTGTGGCAGGGCCAAGTGACTGGCCCATGAGCTCAGAATCCCCATCTCTGTGCCTCGCCCCAACCAGTACTGAAATTATAGGCATGTGCCTGGCCAGCACTCTCACTCACTGAGCCATCTCTAGCACCCAGAAGGATTTTTTAATATACACCTTGTTAACGTGTATATTAATTCATGGAGCCAGCAGGATAGCTCAGCAGGTAAAGGCACTTGCCATGCAAGCCTGATGACGTGAGTTCAATCCCTGGAAATCACACAAGGGTGGAGGAAAAGAAGCAACCCCACAAGGTTGTCCTCTGACCTCCACGTGCACCATGTCTGGGAGGCACATGCGAGCGCGCGCGCGCGCACACACACACACACACTCACACACACACAGAGCAGCAAATAAGTTTTTTTTTTTTAAAGATACAATTTATGCAGAATTTGCTTATTTAAAATGTGCAGTTAAAGCCTGGCATTGCTGTTGCACGCCTTTAATCCCACACATGGGAGGCAGAGGCAGGTGGATCTCTGTGAGTTCTGGGCCAGCCTGGTCTACAGAGCAAGCTTCAGGTCAGCCAGGACTGTTACACAGAGAAACCTTGTCTCAGATGAGGGGGGGAAAAGTGCAATTCAATGATTTTTCTTTTTTTGGTTTGGTTTTTTGAGACAGGGTTTCTTTATGTAGCCTTGGCTGTCCTGGAACTCTTTCTGTAGATCAGGCTGGCCTTGAGCTTGCAGAGATCTGCTTTCCTCTGCCTCCCGAGTGCTGGGAAGGTATGCGCTGCCACCACCCAGCTGGATGATCTCTAGTATGTTCGTGAATACATACAACCAGCAACATGGATGTTAGGATATTATCACCATCTCAAAAAAAGGATGTGAGACTGGATGTTGGTGACTCACATGCTCATACGATAGGTCAGAGCTACGCAGTTAGTAGCAGGTGAATAGTGAAAGAAAAGAAGCCCAGAGGTAGCCCTCTGCTGGACGAATGCTGTAAGTGCTCGCTCTGTGCTTACATTGGGGTGTTGGCAATGTTTCTCCCACACTATAGAAAGGAAATGTTACGGAAGAGAAGAGAGAACAGGATGAAACGAACACCTGTGCTTCTCAGGGCCCAGTCAGCCTGGCAGGTCCCAAATGAAGACACACAGTGTTATCAATGACTTAGTGTATTTACATTTTTTAAAAATATTTATTTTATGTAGATGAGTGCTCTGTCAGCATGTATGCCTCCACACCGGAAGAGGGCATCAGATCCCACTATAGATGGCTGTGAGCCACCATGTGGGTGCTGGGAATTGAACCCAGGTCTGCTGGAAGAGCAGCCAGTGCTCTTAATCGCTGAGCCATCTCTCCAGCCCCATATAGTTGCATTTTTTAAATAGTCACTTTATTGTGCCTTTCACCCAGGTGCCACTGGGTGACCACAGTGACCTAGAAGTGAAAGGGGACAGGAGGCTTTCAGGCCAATAATCTTCTTCCTTTTCCAACAGGTTTGGCAGATCCCAGAAAATGGACTGACCCTTTCCCTGACTGAACCTGTGGTGATTTTAGAGGGTCACTCAAAAAGAGTTGGCATCGTCGCCTGGCATCCGACGGCCCGAAATGTGCTCCTTAGTGCAGGTAGGAGCCCAGCAGTTTTTCTTGCCTCATGGTAGGGGAGTGACAGGTGTGACTTTTTAATGTAGATGGGTTTGTACACTTGGTGTGTGGTGCTCTGTGGTGCTCAGTGTAGGTCATGACCCCACACTGTCCTCTGCTGGCAAAGCCCGGTTTATCTGCTCAGCCCCCAGCTCTGCACACTGATGCTACTTCTGGCTCACAGTGTCATGTGCCACCCCAGGTTCCTCAGGAGCAGAAATGATACCCATTCTGGTGTTACCTTTCTGGACAAGGGAACTTATTTGAAACTGTCTGGTTCCATTAGTCCAAATGACTCTAAGAAAGTCACGGCTTTGGCTTTGGTATGATTCTTGATTGGGTTGAATGATAGCTTCACAATGTTGCTTAGTAATAGTTTCCTTTACCTAAATCTTGTTACTTAGCCTCCTAATAGTAGGGCTCCTTGTCATCAGCACCTTCCTTCCCATGCCTCTGTGTCCCTGTGGGGCTTGCAGCTTTCTCTGACATGCTGTGTGGGCGTTTCTCACCTTGTGGTTGATCTGCTTGGCACAGGCTGTGATAACACCATTATCATCTGGAATGTGGGGACAGGGGAAGCCCTCATCAACTTGGACGATATGCATTCAGACATGATTTACAACGTGAGCTGGAACCGCAATGGCAGCCTCATCTGCACAGCATCCAAAGACAAGAAAGTGAGAGTCATTGATCCCAGGAAACAGGAGATTGTGGCGGTGAGTGTCCTCAGCATTGCCCTGGCAGCCCATGAGTAACCTGGACTCAGCACACTCAAGCTGTGGTGTCCCTGTGGCGTGTAGGCACCAATTGAACAGGGAGGTGACTGCCCCAGTCTCTCTCTCCTCTCCAGTCATGTCCAGCCTTGGCTTAATTCTGTCCCTTCATGGTGGCCTTAGATAGAATCTCACTGTATAGCCCTGGCTAGCCTGGAACTCAGAGGTGTACCAGACTCTGCCTCCCGAGTGTTGGTACAACAGTGGTACTGAAATGCTCATGATGCCCTTAGGGGTTTTCAGGTCTGAATGAGCTCACATGAACTGTGGCCTGTCTGAGAGTCTCACTGATGCTCCCTAGTTGATGCCCACCCTGATCCCAGAACAGTATCCAGGTGCCCTGCAGACCTGCCCCAGGCCCTACTGTCAGTTCAGTGGCCCAGCATCTGACACCCACTAGGGCTTCAACAAAGTCACACATCCTGCCTGAAGATATCCCTGTCAGGGCTGCAGCTGCAGGTGAGAAGTCCAAGAACAGCTCCTTAGTTGTCCTCTGAGGTAAGCTGAGACTGTGACCTCAGGACTGAACAGCAATGGTGGCAAGTGCTTATCCACTATAGGGACTTTCCAGGCCCTGTGTTTGTCCACCCAGAGTCTTCAAGGGTGGCTTCTCGGCCACTCTCATTAACCAGACAAGGCTAGGAGCAGCTTTCCTTATGTCCTGTGATGTTGGAGAAACTGTTGGCTGCCCTACCCTGCAGGGTACCCTCTTGAGAAACATGTATGGCAGAGTCCTTTCATGTGTTTAGTGGCTACAGGGTGTGGACTGGGACAGCAACAAATTGTGGGAGGAGTGGGACTCCTCCATCTGTCCTGGGACTCTGCTTGTGACTTTGACCAGATCATTGTCACTGTTTCCTTATATGGGGGGCATGGTTACCACCATGGCCTTGAGGTCCTTCCTGCCCAGGGAACGTGGAGTGGCCCACTGGGGTTTGGGGAGGCTGACTCCCAGTATGGGCTTCCCACGTAGCCATCTGAATGTCTGAAGCCTGCTTCTGCTCCCCTCCTTCCCAGGAGAAAGAGAAAGCACATGAAGGAGCCAGGCCCATGCGCGCCATCTTCCTGGCTGATGGCAATGTGTTCACTACTGGCTTTAGCCGAATGAGCGAGCGGCAGTTGGCACTCTGGAACCCGGTAGGTCCCTTCCCAGTTTTCCCTCATTCTGAGTGGGGCTTTGGGTTGACAGCATCTTAGGTTCTCAGTGTGGTTTTTAAGCTCCTGCTGCCTTAAGTTAGCAGAGGTTCTGGGTGGAGCACAAGTCAGTGTACTTTAGAAATGCACTCGTGACGCTCCCAAGGGTTTACCAACAGCTAGACCTGGGAAACGATAAAGACTGAGCACAGCCCTGCTTAGAACTGGCCTAAGTATTTCACACACCCTGAGCTTCATGGGTACAATGACTGAAGGAAGTGGTCCACAGTGGCAATGCTTCCTGTCACCTGCTGGGTTGTAGGACGTGGAGTGATTTTTCTGTTCTTTAGCTTTTTTCTAAGTATATGTATTCTTTTTTGGTTTTTTGAGACAGGGTTTCTCCGTGTAGCCCTTCTGTCCTGAAACTTACTTTGTAGACCAGGCTGGCCTCGAACTCACAAGAGATCTGCCTGCCTCTGCCTCCCTAGGGCTAGGATTAAAGTCATGTGCCACCACTGCCAGGCTGTAAATGCATTCTTTACAGTAAGTGGTGACTGGAGAGATGGCTCAAGGGCCAGAGCATTTGTTTAGTGCAGCACAGATGTCACCTATGCTCACAACTCCAGTTCCAGGGGATCTAGTGCCCTCTTCTGGCCCCAGCAGGCAGCTGCACTCATGCACAGACCTTGGAGGCAGGGGCTGGTCTGGAACTCACTGTGTAGACCAGGTTGGTCTTTAAAAACAAAAATCTTTTTAAAAAAGAAACAGCTACAAAGGAGAAGGCTTTTTTTTAAATCTTTATTATGGAGCCATGCTGATGTTTTAATTGATTGTGCATGGTCAAATTAACATAATTATCACTGAGTGTAGTCTGGGTGTTTATATGCCTGTGTTATTCAGACTCCAGAATCTTCTGGGAAGATGGAAAGAATGTTTAATAAAATTATGAGAATTAGCTGGGCGTTGGTGGTACACGCCTTTAATCCCAACACTTGGGAGGCAGAGGCAGGCAGATCTCTGTGAGTTTGAAACCAGCCTGGTCTACAGAGCGAGTTCAAGGACAACCTCCAAAGCAATACGGAGAAACTCTCTGTCTCGAAAAACCGAGAGAGAGAGAGAGAGAGAGAGAGAGAGAGAGAGAGAGAGAGAGAGAGAGAGAGAGAATTATGAGAATTTGTCTTTTAAACATGTGCCTACTCATGTCTATATAAGTTTTATGGACTTATTTTCAGAAAAACATGCAGGAACCAATCGCTCTTCATGAGATGGACACAAGCAATGGGGTGCTGCTGCCCTTCTATGACCCGGATACCAGTATCATTTACTTATGTGGGAAGGTAAACAAGAGCCCTGTGTGTCTGACAGGGCATCAGCAGTAGAAGAGGCGGGGCTCACCCTCCAGAAGCCTAGAAACTAGGCAGTGTGACCAACGTATTATTGAACCGCTTTTTTTTTTTTTTTTAAGATTTTATTTATTTATTATGTATACAACATTCTGCTTCCATGTATACCTGCACACCAGAAGAGGGCACCATATCTCATAATGGATGGTTGTGAGCCACCATGTGGTTGCTGGGAATTGAACTCAGGACCTCTGGAAGAACTGCCAGTGCTCTTAACCTCTGAGCCATCTCTCCAGCCCCTTGAACTGTTGTCCTCTTTCAGACCAGGTTGCAGTCATTGGTCACACTGGCATAACTGTCATTTATTATTACCAAGCTAGCACCTGCCTCCGATAGAAAGAGGGTGACCATGGGGTTCTACATACCGCAATGAGACTCCTTGGTGCTCATCTGCAGCCTGTCTTTGGAGAGGGCAGTGGTCAGCGACTGAAGTTAGAGTCTTATGAATTCTGTTTCCATTAACATGGGCACTGACTCGTCTCTGCTTCTTGTAGGGTGACAGCAGTATCCGCTATTTTGAAATCACGGACGAGTCCCCATATGTCCACTACCTCAACACATTCAGCAGCAAGGAGCCTCAGCGGGGGATGGGCTACATGTCTAAGCGGGGACTTGATGTCAACAAATGTGAGATTGCTAGGTAAAGAATTGAACCCAAAGTGTCCAGTTGTTCATGACAGAGCAAGTCAATTCCAAGACTACCTTGGGTGTATTTGGGGTTGATTGTAGCTTGTGACCTGTCTTTGCGATGGAGCGTAGCAGTTAAACCACTTTGATCTGTGTTTCACATGCTCACTTCCTTCATACTGAGGCTATGGGCAGTGTCTCCTGATGGGCAAGTGGCTAAGAGCCTTGCACTTTTATCTCCCACGTGCTAGGGTTACAGACCTGTGCCATCATGTCTGGCTTCTTTTTCTTTTTTTAAAGTTACACCTTTGATCCCAGCACTCAGGAGGCAGAGTCAAGTGCATCTCTGAGTTTGAGGCCAGCCTGGTCTACAGAGCAAGTTCCAGGGTCACCAGGGCTACACAGAGAAACCCTGTCTCAGAAAACAAAATAAAACAGGAGATGGTACAGTTGGTAAAGCTCTGGTCTTTAGAGCATAAGTTAAGTTTAGGTCTCGAACCTATGTTTACACACTGTGGTGCACACCTATAATCCCAGCAATACTGAGATGGAAGATGGAGAAAACAGATTCCTGGAAGCTCTGGAGTCAGCTAGCATGGCTTGTGAGGCAGTGTTCCAGGCCAGTGTGAGGCCCTGCCTCAAACAAAAAGTGGAAGGCAGGGCCAGCAGTGGGTGAAGACAGCCAGAGTATGATCCTTTGGCCTCTGTAACAGTGGAAGATGGGAACTGACTCTGTAGTTGTCCTCTAATGTGCACATGTGTGCTGTGGCACACACACCCGTATACTCAAACAGAAATGGTAATAAATCCTAAGAATCACAACAAGGTGAAAGGTACCTGCAAACCCCCAACCAGCAGTTGTCCCCTGAGCTCCACATGTGTGCCAGGTGTGCAGAAACACAAGACACACACATGAAAACCCAAAGAGCAAAGTTCTGTTTATGTGTCACATGTTCAGTACCTGGTGCTGGCAGAAGACTGGGCACCCGGGGCATAGGTGCTGCCTCCTGTGAGGGATGTGCTGTCCTGTCTGAGCACGTGGTGAGTGTGGCTGTGCTTCCCACCAACACCTGGCCCTTGGCATTGCTGCAGCCATCTTTCCCAGGCCCCTCTCACTCTTGCTGTCTCCAGCTGCATGGATGATCCCAGTCAGTCTTCTCTGTATTGGGAGCACAAAGCCATGCTTTGGCCTGGGACAGCAGACAAGGTGGGCAGTGAGGATGTGTCTCAGACAGACACTGCAGAAAATAGTCTTTGCGCTGTCAACCACATTTCACCTACTGCAACTTTTGTCTTTATTTCTCCTCTGAAGATTCTTCAAGCTTCATGAGAGAAAGTGTGAGCCTATCATCATGACCGTCCCCAGGAAGGTGAGTGTCCCAAGTGTGTGGTGTTTGTTTTCAGTGTGTGTGAGTGTTGTGCTTGAGGAGGTCACAAGACAGCATCATCAGACCCCCTGAAACATTTAGTGCCATGTGGATGCTGGGAATCAGACTTAGGCCGACTGCAAGAACAACAAATGCTATAACCACTGAGCCACTGTCCTAGTTAGGGTTTGTGTTGCTGTGATAAAACACCATAACCATAAACAGCTTGGGGAAGAAAGTGTTTGTTTATATTTACAACTCTCAGATCACACTTCAGTGTCAGGGCAAAAGCCTAGTGGCAGGCAGGACTTAATGCAATGGCAATGGCTGGTTTGCTCCTCAAGGTTTGCTCAGCCTGCTTTATTATAGCACTCAGGACCATCTTGCCCAGGGATGGCTCCATTCACAGTGAGTTTTGCCCTCCCACATTAATTGTCAAGCAAGAAAATACACTGTAGGCTTGCCTACAGGGCAGTCTGGTGGGGACATTTTGTCAGTTGAAGTTCCTGCTTCCAAATGACATAAAACTAGCCAGTGTACCATCTCTCCATCTCCATGACCCAGCTTTTAAGTAAGTTTTCAAAAGAAAACTCAGATCAGTGTGATGCCTGTAATCTCTGCCATCCCAACTATAGGAGAATAAGTAAAGGGTGGGAACATACAGCTCATGGTGGAACCCTTGCCCTGCACACATGTGCATGGGACTTAGTTCTCAGCACTTCAGAAAAACAAATAGCCCAGGAGAGCCCCAGCCTTTCTCGCTTACCAAATGTTGCCTAAATACCTGCTGCAGTCTGACCTCTTCCAAGATGACCTGTACCCTGACACAGCGGGCCCGGAAGCTGCACTGGAAGCGGAGGAGTGGTTTGAGGGGAAGAATGCAGACCCGATCCTCATCTCCTTGAAGCATGGGTACATTCCAGGCAAGAACAGGGACCTCAAGGTGGTCAAGAAGAACATTCTGGATAGCAAGCCAGCAGCAAACAAGAAAAGCGATCTCATTAGTGCTCCCAAGAAGACAGCTGACACAGCCAGCGTGGTAAGAAGTGTGTGCTGGGGGCAGTGGCCAGGGACTAGGTGACTGTGCGGTTTACTCACTAGCCCAGTGCTGGCTTTGTAATGCCTGCTGTGCTATCTGAGAGTGGACAGGATCCCTGCTGGGTTTTCTTAACTGCCTTTCCACAGTAAAGCATGATGGGAGTCCAGCGTCCTAGGAACCAGGAAGTGAGTGTCCAGGAGAAGGAAATAGTGTGTCTGGGTGTCACTGTGCTGCAGTGACTGGGAGATGGGGCTAGCAATAAGGATGGCCTTGGCTAGAGCCCTGGGGTTAGGGACAGACCAGCCTCCCACCAGAGGGCACTGCCACCACAGGAAAGGACAGGAGTGGGAGGAGCTTGGGGAACCACAGGGAGCAGAGTGCCTAAGGAGCTGGTGCTTTGGCTATGACCAAGAAGCCAGTCTCTGGACTTGGTACCATAAATTTCCACTGAATAAGTTCAGGTGGGAGAAAGTGGGCTTCCTCAGAGGGGGCAGGGTGGGGCTCTGACTGAAGGATTCTTCCAGAACCCATACAGATGGAGGCTGTCCCTAACAGCAGAAAGAGCAGTGAGTGGGCTGTAGGGTGTGGTTGCTGTGTGGTCTAGAGGCTCTGTCCACCTGGATGTGCAGGTGAGGACTGGGAGCCGTACTGAGGCCCTGCATTTTCCTCGTGAGCTCTTGTCTGTCTCAGGAGTGTCCACAGTGCCTCGAGGCTTGCTGTTCCCATCGTAGGAATGTCAAACTAAGTTTCCTGTTCTGCACTGTTAGACTATGTTAATCCTGGTGGTCACGTTTTTTCTGTTGGTTTTTGTAGCAAAACGAAGCCAAGTTGGATGAGATTTTAAAAGAGATCAAATCCATAAAAGACACAATCTGCAATCAAGATGAACGTATTTCCAAGTTAGAGCAGCAACTGGCGAAGATGGCGGCCTAAGGCCCACCCACCTCCCCGGATGGCAGCTGCTCATTGGCGTGCTCCAAGGGAGGGCAGAAAGGGAGGCACTGCCATTTGGAAACATTCCATTTCAGATCTGTCAGCCAGCGATAGGCCACATTCCAGTAAGAACTCAATTCCCCTCCCAAATCTGCGAAGAAATGAAAGCTGAGCTTTTGATCAGGAAGCTTTACGGTGTTTGACAGGCCCAGGGGCATGTTGAACTTCACTACATTGACAATACCAGGTATTCTGAATTTTTTAGAGAACAAACCCACCCCAGCCTAGTGTCCTGCCCACACACCTTTTGATGAATGGGGCCAACGCTACCTTTGCTCCGTGTATTCCCTCCCCTTTTTAATATTGCCAAAACCAAAAGTAGCTTTTTTCTTTGTATTTTGCTACTTTGCAGTATTTGTGTGGTTGGTTCTTTGGGGTTTTTTCCCTCCTTAATTTGAAAGGGACAGCACTGTGTATGTGTATAAACTAAATGAAGATGAGATGATTATTTTGTATAAAGTCTCACAAGAACAATCAGCGTAGCCACACAGTGCTGTCTCACTCGCAGCACAAACCCGGACATCTGATGACTGTCTGTCAGGAAGAGTTGAGAAATCACGTGGACCCACACACCACCCTCCATTCCGTTGAGTCTTTGATCAAACAGCTCTTGTCCCCTCCCTCTCCCTGTCTCCTCTCTCTCTCCTAGGAGTGGGTGGTTGTACAGATGGAATTTAGCTTCTTGATTTGTCCCATGATTATAATCTAATCAAACCAGCATGTGTCCTTGCAGTCTTGTTCTGTGCAGACTGTCGCGTCCATCCCTTCCAGCATTGTGGTTCAGTTTCAGTCCATACTGGACAATAGCTCCCAAGACAAGAGGATGCACATGTGTTGAGTGTTCTTGTCCATTGAAGTGGCTGGCCTGACCCTTGGGTGTGGTGTGGGGCTTGAACCCAGGCTCTGTGAGCAGAGCCTCTGCCTGGTGTCCTGTTTCCCACATCTCCTGTCCTCCCCTCTTCACTATGCTGCCTTCTGTCCTGTCTGTCCACTGCCTGCCGGGCCTAATCAGTTCACAGGATGTGACCTGAGGGCTCTTAATACATTGTGGTGAGGGAAAAGTCTAGAGGGAAGCAGAAAGTGGGGTGTAGAGAGAGGCTATAGCTCACCACGTGCAGGCACAGTCCTCTGTGCCACACAAATCAGGCTCCTGTTCCCTAGCACTGACATGGCTGTGTGGGGTGCAGCAGTCCCCTAGCTGCAGAGGACAGGCGGAGCCTTACCTGCCTCCTAGGGCAGCTGGAACTTGGCTCCAGTTTTACATCCTCCTGTTGTATGTTTGTGAGAGCATATGACCAGATAGTGTCCTAGGGATCATGGAAGGCCTGTCTTAGCATGTGTTCGTGCTGGTGTGGGCACATTGCTGGCTGCAAGCAAATCTACAGGGTATCGGGACAGAGGCAGAGTGTGGTGGCAGCTGCTTAGAGTGTGTGGACTGACTGGGTACTCTTGTAAGAAAAGATTCCCAGCCATCCATACAGGGGTTGCTAGCTCCACAACTCCAGGGCATAGGAACCTTTGTGGTTTTGTGTGTCTGTCTTGTGTTTTTGATGTTGAAGTGGATAATGAGATGTAAAGAAACAATTGGAATGACTTACTAATGCACCAGAATCGTATGCCAGTGTGTCCTGCTGAGGGACTTCGTTTCCAGACTCAGAAATGTTCTGGAGTCTGGGCCAGTTAATTAGGTAACAGTTGTTGGGGCTGTCGATGAAGCACCGGAGGGAGTGTGGTTCAGAGAGAGGAAGGAGCAAGGAGAAGCGTGCAACCACAGTGTGTTCCAGGCTCAGAGTAGGCGTCTGACACGTTGTGGTGGATTCTTTTCCCCTGTTTTGTCCCTGTCTTCTTAAAGCCGTGATACCAGAGGGGGACAGTGAACTGCTCCCAGATCCACTCTTATAGAGTGGCCATAGTGTTCTGTCAAAACACCTGCTTCCGTTTTCAAAGATAAAAGACATTGATTACAATTGTGTGCTGTGTTTCTTTGACACCTCAGTTGTCTCTGAGGCAGCTGCACCTCTGCTGGACACAGGTATGCTGCAGCAGCCAGGCGACAGTGTCTCTGACAGTAAGCACTAGGAGTAGAGGTTAGCCCTGCACTCCAAAAAGGGGTGATCAGGAGGGGCACCTCAGAATCTGGTGGGGGTGGGCCCATGTACTCCAAAGAGGGGTGATCAGGAGGGCCTAAGAGGCTGGCACTGGGGTCCAGACTCACAGACCTGCCCCACAGATCCTGCCTCCAGTTTTGGCAGCCAGCGTGACCTGAAGCCAAGATCATCACCTCCCAGTTTCTACCTTGGTTCTTTGGAGGAGAGAAACAGCCAAGCAGACCACTGGGCCTCTTACAGGGACAGCATGGCCAGAATGGGAGTAGGGTAGCTTCTCCCAGGAATTTTGAGACAGGGTGTCATGTAGACCAGGCTGACCTCAGATTTGCTAACCTCAAATCTTTCTGCCTCCACTTTGCAAATGCCTGGGATCACAGGGGTGCTCGACTGTGTGTGGTTGGTGCACTACTATGGATGGATTCAACCTAGAGGCTTTGTGTATGTTCAGCAAACACTTTGCCTACTGAGCCACATCCTCAGAACTCGCTTTTTTTTGGGTGTTTTGTTTTGTTTCCCTGTTGTTGCACTTTGAGAGAAGGGCTCAGAGCCGGGAGTAGTGGTGTATATCTATAACCCCAGCCCTTAGAGCAGAAGCAGGGCCATCCTGGTCTACAGACTGAGTCCCTGGACAGCTAGGGCTACACAGAGAAGACCCTGCCTCAAAAAGAAGGAAGACAGACAAGGTCTCAAGTACCCCAAGCTGTCTTTGAACTTGCTGTGTGCTAGATAGCCTTGACCCTCTTGCCCCTGTATCCTGAGTAACTGGATTGCACACCCAGCTTGGGGCGGGGGGTGGGATGGGGGTGGCTTCCAAAGAAGGGTTTTCAGTAGAAGGGAACCTCGCCTGTCCTTTGTGTTCCAGCAGGTTCTAAGTGTCTTCACTGCACCTTCCAACTTCTCCTTTTCTGTTACTCCATCCCCGATGACATTTCAGTATTTGTAGGGAAGAAACCCCCTGTGTTTACCTTTTCTTGGTAGTTATGTGATGAGCAAGTAACAGGAAGCCCCCCCCTTCCTCCTGAGCAGAGGGAGCAGCTGGTTCTCCATGAGCCCACAGAGAGGGGAAGTTGACAGGCCTCTCTCCAAGGACCCCAACTGTGGGAGAGGCCTGGTGGTCTGTTTACGACTGGCCTGCTGTCTGGTTTTGGCTACCTTGATCCTTTGCCAGGAGACCTGACAGTTCTGTGTCACAGACGGCCAGCCAGACATCGTCTGGAGAGAACTTACTTTTTAGGGTTACTTCCCCCCTCTACTTGGTGTTCTGTGTCCAGAAAAGTGGCTGTTGGCTCTGAAGGAAGCTGTTAACTCTTACACGGCCCTTCTCCTTCCAGCACAGTCAGGAATCCTGGAATTTGCTCACGGACATGAGTCGCAGTCACTGGCACAGTTTTCATTTCAAAGGGGATGTATTCATTGCTCAGGGTAGACTGTGCTCTCCCAAGAACAGTGGAGAGAGAGGTGGGTCCTTTACCCTACTGCCAGGGGTGATATGTGCAGTGACAGCACCTTTGTGGAAGGCAGGCTCACAGGCAGGTCTGCACTTAACATTTAGAGAGCTTCATCCCTAAACACCAGTGGAACATAAATTGAAGAGTTAGAGGGGTTTGTTATTGGTCACATTCCTGTCATGCCCTATGACTATTTATTCATTTAAGAAGGATATTGAGTAAGAAACATTAAAAGAATTGGTTGTAGCTGGGGCTGTTAGCCACATTGGGTGGCTCCATTCCAGGCAATCTGATGTCCTTCTCTGGTCTTGAGAGCACCTACACACATGTACATACAGGTACACAGACACACAGATACACATAAAAATAAATTTCAGAGAAAAGTAGGATACAGTTGATTCTGAGAATCAATTGTGAGAAAAGGTATCACTCTGTATCCTTGGCTGGCACAGAACTCATTATGTAGAGCAGGCTGGCCTCAAACTCAAAGAGATCCTTCTGCCTCTGCTTTCACAGTGCTAGGACTAGAAGTGTGTGCATACCTAATGATATTTACATTTTTAAGAAGTTGACAGAAACCCAAAGGAAGACAATTCAATGAGAAGAATCATGAAGTTCAAAACCCAGGGTCCATAAACAATTGGAACATGCCAGGGCTGGACAGCTGGCTCAGCAGCTGAGACTGTACTCAGTACTCACGTCAGGTAGCTCACAACCAGGGATACCACGTCCACTTCTGGCCTCTGTGAGCACCTGCACTTTGCTGCATACAACCACAGAAAGATACACATAATTAAAAATAAGTTATTTTAGTTTGGACATGCCATACATTGTGGCTGTTTTTCCTTGAGTTCTCAGAGATCTGAGTGACAGAGACTGTTTTGCTACAAAACCTAATACACTTGCTGCTTTAGTGTTTATAAAACTCCATAGCCAAAGGCAGCTTGGAGAGGAAAGGGTTTATTTCATCTTACAGTTTGAAGTCCATCATCTAAGAATCAGGCAGTGTAGGAACTTCAGGCAGAAACCTTCTATAGTTGTGTCCTCGGGAAGAACAGTGGCTCACACACAGGTTGTGTCCAGCCAGTCCAGCAATGACTGCCTCCTGAGGCAAAGTCCAAGGACCAGTAGTTCAACCCATGAGGCTGGATGCCTCAGCTGATGTTCAGTCCCCGTCAGAGTCCTGAAGAGGCAAGCTTATGCTAGTGAAGAAAAGCCTCCGTTGCAAGATAGGTGAGTGTGCCAGTGAGAATAAGGGCAAACAGGCAAAAAGTGAAGGCTTCCTTCTGTGTCATTTATATAGGCTGCCACAAGAAGGTGTAACCCAGATTTCCACCTCAGATGATCTGATCAAGAAAAACCCTGTCTGGCAGTAGTGGCACACACCTTTAATCCCAGCGTTCAGGAGGCAGAGGCAGGTGAATATCTGAGTTCGAGGTCAGCCTGGCCTACAGAGAGGGTTCCAGGATGGCCAAGATGACACAGAGAAACCCTGTCTTGAAAAAACAAACGGAAAGAAAAAGAAAAACCCCTCATAGGTGTGCCAGGCTGCTGGGGTTCTTGCTTAATTCCAGATGACTATAGTCAAGTTGATAATCACCATCACAAACCTAGAGGCAGGAACTGATGCAGATAGAGGCCATGGAGGTGTGCTGCCTACTGCCCTGCTCCTTTTGTTTTCTTAGACACCCTAGGTCCACCTACCCAGGCATGGCACCACCCACAGTGAACTGGGCCTTTTCACACCAATCGTCAATCAAGAAAATGCCCCCATACTTGCCTACAGACCATTTTACAAGTCATTTTCTCTCAGCAGAGTGTCTTCCTTCCCCAAATAACTCTAGTTTGTGTCAAGTTGATAAAACTAGCTAGCATAATTGACTCCTTGTCAACCTGACACACAAACATCACAATTCAGCTAGACACCTTTCACATATGTCCACAAGATGCCATGTTAATATTAATTCTGAGATATAAGATAATCCAGCTTTTGGGAGCTGGAGAGATGGCTTGGTGGTTAGGGGTACTGACTGCTCTTCCAGAGGACCCAGGTTCAATTCCCAGCACTCACATGGTCCCTAAAACATCCAAAGTTGAGCTAATTTAGCAGAGGAGCTGGAGTCGGTTCCCAGCATCCATGCATTGCCTCACAACCATTTCTTAACCCCAGCTCTAGGGGATCCAGTGCCCTCTTCTGACCTCAGTGGACACCAGACACACACGTGGTACACAACCATACACTTAGGCAAAACACTCATACAAAATGATAAAAGTCTTTAAAAATTAGAAAAACAAAAAGGCAAAAGTCTCCTCCAAAGATCAGAGCCTCTGTAAGATATCCAAAATCTCTAAAATCCCCAAAGTGTCTGTAAAATTCCAGTCTCTAAAGCGTTGGGGGCTCTGTAAAATCAAAACAAGTTAAATAAATACACAAAGGCTTATTATTATTTATGAATGCCTTGCCTTAGCTTGGCTTTTTTTTTTTTTTAAGATTTATTTATTTATTATGTATGCAGTGTTCTGCCTGCAGGCCAGAAGTAGGCACCAGATCCCATTATAGATGGTTGTGAGCCACTGTGTGGTTGCTTTGAATTGAACTCAGGACCTCTGAAAAAACAGCCAGGACTCTTAACCACTGAGTCATCTCTCCAGCCCCCAGCTTGGCTTGTTTCTAGCCAGCTTTTCTTATAATTATCCCCATCTGCCTTTTGCCTCTGGGCTTTTTCTGTTTCTTACTTCTGTATATCTTACTTCCACTCTTATTCTGTGGCTGGCTTCTAGCAGCCTCCTCTCCTTGTTCTTGCTCCTTCCTCTCTCTTCCCAGAACTCTCCTATTTATTAACCTCTGTCTTCCAGCCCCGCCTATCCTTTCCCCTGCCTCACTATTGTCCGTTCAGCTCTTTAATAGACCATCAGGTATTTTTTGTTTTTTGTTGTTGGTGGTGGTTTTGTTTTGTTTTTGTTTGTTGTTTGGTTTTCCAAGACAGGGTTTCTCGGTGGCTTTGGAGGCTTTCCTGGAACTAGCTCTTGTAGACCAGGCTGGTCTCGAACTCACAGAGCTCCGCCTGCTTCTGGGATTTAAAGGCATGCACCACTACTGCCCCATGACCATCAGATGTTTAGACAAACAAAGCTTCAGAGTTAAACAAATGCAACATAAAAGAATGTAACACATATTTGCATCATTAAAACAAATGTTCTGCAGCATAAACAAATGTAACACACCTCAAAATAATTCTGTCTACAACAGCTGTCCATGGTGGTGGTCCCATGGCACTGGCATCTCCAAGATGTCAGGGTCTTTACTGACATCTTTCCTGGACTGCACCTCCAGTAGCCTCTTCTAAACTCTGCAGGGAGCCTGACCCTGCGGCATGGTGCCTTCAGCTGCTCTCCACGATCCCTTCATGC